TTTTTTATTTTTGTCATTCTAAACTCCCGTCCACTTAATTTCGAACATCCTGTCTTTTTTCTTATGTCCGGAGATCGTAATGAAAAGTTAGTGCGAAATGTCCCTTTCCCATTACAGCTTACCTAATTAAATATTCTTTTATGATATTTTTAACTTTTGTTCTGCTATAAATGTTCAGGACCCCATCATCTCTGTTTATAGGTATGGTATACATATGTCTCATCCAAAAAAAAATCTTTCTCAATTCACTTCAAGACTATTTCGATAACGAAATTTTTTTTCTTTTATTTCTATCATAGGTGCAATTTACTTGAACGTTCTCGCATAAATATGCGTGATATGTTACCTGAAAGTGAACGTCAAGATACATTACTTCTTCAAGTTCTTGAAGATCGTGGTTTAGCATATTTATGTTCACATTTAAAATTACGTGTTGATTTACTTAATAAACTTTCATTACCATCAATGGATTCAAATGAATTTTTATTATTTGTTGATAATCAAACAAAAATCTATGATAAAAATACACAAACATTTATTCAAACATTAGTTTCATGTATATATGAAACAGCTATATCAACAACATTAACATCAACAAAAACTGATAAAACAATATTAAATCAAGAAAAAATTTTTATTGAAAATCATCGACAATGTTTACAAACATATATTAAAACAATTGAACAACAAGTTTGGGCATTATATGCATTACAATTAATTGGATATAAAAATAATTTTCCAAAAGAATTATTATTACGTTTATTTGTTTATTCATATGATTTAGATATAATTGAAGAAGATGCTTATTTTAAATGGAAAGAAGATATTAATGATGATATACCTGGTAAAGGTAAAGCATTATTTCAAGTTAGTAAATGGTTACAATGGCTTGAACATGCAAGTGAAGAATCGGATGATGATGATAATAGAAAATCTCATGAAATTATATTGAATGATAAAGAAGTAAGATAAGATGAATAATTATTTATGGATCTTTTTTGTTTTTATTTTTGCTATTTTTATAGAACGGTCATGATCAGAAGGATATAGAACAAGAACAAAATGCATGATGAAAATTTTTTTTTTGTTCATTTTCTTTTTTCTTTTTTGTGTGCTTTTAAACACAGCATATATCAACGCTCAAATATGTCTTTTTTTTTTTCTTCGTTTCGTTTCATTATTAACTTCATCCGTACGTCTACTGTATTGTACAAACCATAATAAAAAAAATACATACAATGATCGTATATATATATATGTATTTACAGTCATAAAGATTTTTTCTTCTTTTTCTTTTCTTTTTGTTTGACAATAAATGGGAGACATCTACCTTTGAATCCTGCACGTTGATGAAATAGAATCCAAGAATATTTACCCTATGTTTTCTTTATATATTGTTCTATTTCCGATAATAAATAAATAGATTGTTGTTTTGTTTTAAACATATAATGTTATGTCGTCTAATCTTCGATTATTACCATTGCATGAAAATCAATATTTTCAAAATAATGTAATTGAACTTCTTAATGATGAATGGCCACAATCAAAAACTATTCGTATGCGACGTTTAGAACGTTCATGTAATGAATTTCCTATATCATATATTCTTGTAAATGATAATAATCAACTTATTGGTTATTGTTATATTGATCGACTTTTAGATGATGAACAAAGTGTTATTATTGAATCAGTTTGTATACAACGAACATTACGAGGCAATGGTTAGATTTTAGAAACAAAAAAAAAAAAAAAACTACTGCAAAAAATTTATTTTCTCTATTTATTCAATAGGTTATGGACGAATATTAATGAAACTTTTAGAAGATCAACTTCATCAACAAGAATCGAAAATTAAATTTATTTATTTAACAACAACTGATAAACGTCATTTTTATGAAAAATGTGGTTATGAAGAAACTAGTCCACGTATTCGATTAAATATTTCTAGTAAATTATTTAATGGTAATGAACAAATATTAAAAAATTTATTAGCTAATCAAACACAATCAATAACTGATAGTCATGTTATTTTACAAAAAGGTTCAACTATTCAAAGAATTCAAACTGTTTGGATGAAAAAACAAATTTAAAAAAAAAATTTTGTTTTTTCATTGAAAGTGTTTTGTTTAATTGTAATAATTTAATTGATAGAAAGTTACTTATCATTATACGATTTGAAATTATAGAAATTTTCAACATTTATTTGTTTTTATTACTAAAAATGAAAATTTAATTTGAATATATTTTTCATAAGTGAAAATATTTATTGATTCAATTTCGAGTTTCAACCATTTTGAATAAGAATAAGAATTTTTTCCTTTTTCATTATATAGTATAGATTCTAAAACTTAACGAAATTATAACAAAATTACTAACCTTGAAAAGAAAAACTAAATACCGTCTATAGATTTTACAAGAAAAGATATTTTTTCTAAAGATATAAGTCCGTCTGTTTCTTCAAGATTGAAAGTTTTTTTTAGTTTATTTAATGACAAAGATATAGGACGCTTAGTATTTTTTTGTGATAATAAATTAGTAATTTTTTTTTGATGATGGGGATATGGGGATATTGATGATTGGTTAAATTTTATTATTAGTAAATTTTTTTTTCAATGAATGTGTATTTTTTTCGATGATGGGGACATGGGGAGATTGATTATGGGTGAAATTTTATTATGAGTAAATTTTTTTTCTATCTACAGTATCCATATGCCCTATTTTCATGAAAATTGATTGACGTGGGATGATTGTCTAAAAGAATCGAATGTTTCTCGAGCAAGCGATGGAAATGGATTGAGAGATACTTCTTCAGAATACAAACATCCCTTCACCCTCACTCGTTATTGTACCAGCCAATGTGTGTATAGGGTGGGTGTATTCAGAAGAAGAATCGGTTGAGATGGAGTGACTGCCTAAAAGAAAGAAAATTTCCTAAGACAATCTGTGATTTGTCTGATAAAAGAACAGATTTAACTTCTTTAAAATCATATAAAAGTTGATGACCAGCGATAAGACAAAGCGCGAACGTTTGTTTGCACCAGTGGGAAAAGCGACCGAAAACCTTTTCAGGAGATAGCTTGTTCTAAAGTACATTAATTATTTTTTTTGCTTTGAACACGAATGATAACAGCATC